AGTCTCTCAGTCAGATGTTTCTCCTCCTCTGTTCAGGTCTTCTCCATGTGGAGCCATGATGCAGACATAGATAGACACAGTCCAGAGGTCCAGAACTGAGAAGGTTCTGCTTTTCTCAGCTCGTTGTAGAACCATGTTCATGCAGGTGGACTGATGGAAACCACAGCTGGACTCTGTTTGGTTCTTTGAGGTTCTGCTCTGGAGCTGAATTTTGATCTTAGTCTTTATGAAGGATGAGTTTGAATTTGTTTATCAGAGGAAATACTCTTGTGTTCTACATAGAAGTAGTCTGATTACTGTGAGGTGACGCTCTTTACAATCATGTGACATTTAAGGACATCACAGGTGTTTTTTTTCAGGCTGCGTTCAGCGTATCCACACAGCGACCGGTCAAAGAACGCCGGCTTCGTGTGGTCGCCGTCGGTGGGCCATGAGGAGCTTCACCAGGCTCTGGGAGTCAGCGTGAAGGTCACAGTCATCAGTGAGCACTTCAGAGAGCCGCTCACCTTCACCTGTGATGGTAAGGCGCTGCGTTCACTGACATCAAGACGTTGTTTCACCTGAAACTGAACAGACAGACGAGGAACGAATGACTTAGGTCACCAGTTCATGTGGGGATAGTTCCTCCAGGAGAAAAGCTGGACCTGTAATAAAACCTTGTCCTACCTTCTGTGATAACTCTGGATGTGAGTGACAGTGGAGTGTTTGTTCCAGGTTCGTCCACCGTCGACCTGCTCATCTATCAGACTCTGTGCTACGCTCAGGACGACCTGGACCACGTGGATGTGGACGGATACCTGCTGAAGGTCTGTGGACACGACGAGTTCCTCAACAAGTAAGAACCCAGAACGTAGTTATTTATCAGTACTACAGATTGTAATATGTTCATATTACAATCTGTAGTAACAGTTTATTAGAGTTAGTATCAGAGTGAGTCCTGTCTATAGACGGTTCTGGTAGGTTCTGGAGGTGAAACGGTCCTTCCATTGTCTAGAACCGGTTCTGACCAACCACCATCACATATGCTGATATGAGGCTGGAGAGTTTACCCAGAATGCACTTTGTAAAGTTTCCTCTAGTGACTGATCAGAACCAGAACCACATCCAGGGTACCAATGATTGTTTCTGTGACT